AGGTTTGTCTCCGAATCCTGTGATCTTAACATATCAAATGTCCTCCTAATTGATCTCATTGATCATTTTAATACCAGTAATGTTACGGTTTTCTGCAATTTATAGACCGGAATATAGGAAATTGAAACTGGATCATGCAGTTGTTTATGGATCTAATGCCTGACAAAACAAGTTCATAGGACACGTCATTAATCTATGCTGGATCGGTCGTGCCCGATCGCATACCAGACATAGAATATGTTAGAAACTTTGAAACACTGAAATTCGTCAACTGGAGGACAAAACGAGCTTGGGGTTCTTCATTGAAGAAACAGAAATATACTACCGTCTACATAATCCCAGCACTTGCTTCCAGGCAGAAGTCCGAGCAATAATGGAATGCTTAATTTGGATTAGAATAAATATGGGCGATATCAGGTGATAAGGTTAAATCTAAGACTGTATTGGATTGCATGAAAGCTGTTATCGAATACTTTTACAGAGGTAAGCTTTGCATCATATGGGTATCAGTTAACTCGGGAGTAGTCGGCAACGAAAGAGCGAATTTACGTACTTTAAAAGGAAGGGCGCTCAGGTACGAACCCAAAACCATTCGACCCAACTAGAATCGTATTAAAAATATTGGCGTGCGAATCCTATAAGGCCTCTTGGAATAATGAAACGGTTAGTAGATTCACAAAGATTCTATGGGGTAATCCTACAGAGAGCAGGACGAGAAGTCTAAAATGAGCACGTCTGAGGTAAGTCTTATGGTTTGTACTTTGAGTGGACACACAGGAATACGGGCACAACTTTACAAAATAGATCGTGCGGATGCAGGAATCTAGATCATGTGGATAGGACAGTGAAACTCGAAAGCACTTTCTTTGTCATTGTCAGGCTTTCCTTGAAATCTAGGGAGAGATATTATTCCGGATATTGTAACATTCTTAGGAATTACGTCCAGGAAATTCTGGTTCTGAAAATCGGACAATAATTGATCGGACAATCGGACAATCATTGATCAAAAGGACCTCCCAACAGGTCATATAGTGGTCTAGGTGTATTTCTTCGAATTTGATGTAGTATACATCCGCCTATCAACCTAACTTGAGCATTGCTTAAAACAATTTATCGAAGATTTATTCTATTATATGGGAACTACTGTGGATATTACAGTGTTAATTTTTTAAACAATACATAACAATAATTATTTATGCAAAGGAGTAACACGCATTTTCATTTAATAACGACAATGATGAACTTGATATAATTATAATGGCGCCACTGGAAAAACATTTTAATAAATAGGATTTGTACTTGCTTTTCAAAAATGTTTGTTAATTTGGAATTTGTTGTTGGCTTGAGATTTTGCAAATATTTTAATTTGTTTTTTAATAAAAAAAATTCCTTAACATCACCAGATTTCTTTTGGATGTTGATTGATGTGACGCAAACGGAAAGAACCTCTTTAAACAGTTGATTTTTATCATTATAAAAATTCCATAAATTTATGGATATATTCTCTTCATTCATAAATAAATATTGGAAAAAACAAAGAAATACTACACACAATAGAAACACCTCTTTTTTTAAACCTTTAACGTAATCTACCTACTATGCGCAAACAAATATGTATATTTGTACGTCATACCAAAATAACAATGAATGATCTTTTTTAATTATTTGATCTACTTTACAAGTGGCCCAAATTCTCATAAAAACAAAAATAACATAATGCGAACAAACAGCACTACTACGGTACACGGCAAAACAGATCATCGTAGCACATGACCATAATTTAATTGGTGCCTTCTTTCCGCATTTTGCCAGATCATTGATTGATCAGTTTAACGTCATAATCGAAAGTATGCAGTACGAGTACTATATCGTATGTGTGTACATACTTATTTTGTTGCCCACTACTACAACAATGACTTGGCTGCGTCGGGAGGCCCGATGCTGTTGCTGCACAAGTAATTTTGCAGTATTGCTGTCGGCGTCATTATTTTGCAACTGCAACAATACATTGCAATTTCCCCTATACACTGATAACATTTTTGGGATTTGTGGAAATCTTCGTATATTTAAGAGATTGTGTCGTCGAAATTTTATACACAAATAACATATGTATAGGCGATAAGACAAAAAAATCGGAAGCACGGACTCGAACTCCGGTCTTGATTTGTTCCCAATTACTTGCAATCATTATAAGCTTTTCTTTTTATAACAGTAATTCTGTATTTGACATTTCTCGTATAGGAGTGACGTTGGCTTTAGAATTCTTTCGCAGCTTGAGACGTCAATCTATATCAAAAACGTTTGCTAAGCTGCGGTTTATATCTATATCGAAAACGACATCACCTCTGTAATCCGTTGTTAAGATAAACGATGGTATGTCCTACAAACCTATCTTGGCCTTTTATATACAGTTTTACCAAATTTCCAGAATCGGAGTTGTAAATACATTACCAAAACCTCCATCATATTCAGTTCCCAATAGTTCAATATAATTTCGAATCTCGGACAACCTGATTTTTGGAGGTTCACTTATGCTATCGTTGGTATACGAAAGGTCGTGCCTTTCTGTCGAGTACTCTTTGAGGTCGCACGAAAATATTTGTTCTAGATGGGATCTTAATATCAAAATTTATTAAGTGATGGTTGATTTTCGTGGTAGTTCACAGTACGAAAACAGCTGGTAGCCGTGAGAAATCTCAGGAGGTCATTAAGTTTAGATCCAGATATCTTGGATATAAAGGAAACTGCTTCTCTTGGCAGCTAGAGCAGGGAATTTTCTGAGACATGCATGTCTGCCTAGCGCCCATTGTCTAGTTATTACTGCCATCAACCTCTATATATCTCTCTTATTTCGGGTTATAATTTTCCGTGTGCGTTTCTCATTGGTAGCTAGAATATTTTCTGAAAAGATGGAAGGCCGCTTCTTTCTCTTTTTTTCCTGTCCTCAAAGGGGAGCCATAGCTAAAATGCATGTCGGTCTAGCACCTAGTGTCCAGTTATTACTGCCAGTTATTACTAGATATCCCGCCTATTTCAGGTTATAATTTGTCTTAAGCATTTCTCATTTTCGGCTAGGGCCAATTTTTCTGAGAAGATGGAAGATAGTCACTTCCTTTTCCCTGTCTTTGCAACTGCGGCAATATTTATTGAAGGGGAGCCCGACCCGACATAACTGCCCAGTGCCCAGTTATTTCTGCCATCAATCTCGATATATTCTGCCACATTAACTTCGCCCCTCTGTGTTATACCATATTTTCAGCCTTTTGAAGAAACAATCTGAGGATACTTCCTTTGATAAAACCTAACGTAGTTGCTACTGAAACATCATTAAAGATATTCAGAGCAGATCCAGTTCTGGCTGCTTCATCTGCCTGTTTAGCTCCATAATAGTCTCTATGATTAGGGACCCAAACTAGGGTAATATAAGATAGGTGACCCAGCAATAATAGGTCATTTTTGCAGTGCCTAGCAAATAGGGGTGTGGTTGTATAAGATTCTAGTTAAAGAAGTGTCGCATAGCTATCGACGAAAATGTCATATTTCAGTCTTAAAAAACACTAGAGTTGAGACGGTGAGAGATACTTATCCAGAAGACACCAGAACCTACACAGCAGTTCATTTTAGAACCATCAGAATATATCCTGATGGTATATTCGTTCGGTAGGTTACCACTCATTCTTGGAAGGAACTCTGACTTGGAAAACTTTATTAAAGACCGTGTGCTGGGTAATATAGTGGGATGGTTGCTCAAGTTTGAGGCAATAGACTTAAAATCGTAGCATGTTCATATGATCTTTATTTGCAACACTAATTGGTTTTTAATCATACATGAAAATTTCGGAAGGGGTTAAATCGCAGTTCATATGCAGTAATTGACATCCTCAAAGTGGTTGATAACACGATAATCAAACTTAGAATTTCGAGATAAAAATGCACCTTTTCAATTGTACCATCCTTTGCAAAGCCAATTAAAAATCCTCTATTACTTTCTCAGTTAAAGATTGCCGGTTTAATTCGGTTGTTAGGCCCTTATAATCAAAAGCAAATTTAGTATATTTAGTGTACATAATGTATGTACATATTTGTATTTTAAAACGACCAATGTTAGATTATATATGATTACAATTTGCTCCCAAATCAAATCAAGTCGTATGTTAACTTTTTTCTTGAAAACCAAGTGTGGGTGTTTGGGAAAACACACTTCACGATCGACATAATTCTCTCTTATTGCTATTCAAATGATGGGTTTTATATGTTGGTGTGTATTTATAATAAAAATACCGTTATCAACAATACTCGTACACAGCCATTGAACAAGATCATGCCGCAATATGAACAAAAAAAAAATACACATACGCATACAAATGCATACATTTATCACAGCAACATATATACAGTGAGAGCTGATAAGGACTCTCCTCTAGTGAAATAATTGTAAATTTTTTCATGAGTACGAACGTGTATGAGTGTGTAATTAAAAACGAACTGAAACTGCATTCATTACAAAAATTTTTCAGATTGTGCGACTGAAAAAACCAACACACTATATGAGTAAGAGAATGCCGGGTTTGAGCTAAAGAATACTAATTATCAACAACAATTACATATGTATGTAGTACTCACTCATAATGATCTTGAAGTTTAAGAAAAAGAGCAAATAATTTTTAAAACAAAAACAAACCATTCAAAAAATTAAGAAAAAAAAAACAACAACAAATCTGTTCAATCAAATTACATATCAACTTAAACAATGAGAAAAGCATACATCAAGCTAATTGTAATGCTACTGATGATGATGATCATGATGGTGAAATGATACTGCATGGAGGGATATTCATAATGATGCTGAGACAGGCGATACCATCGATCGATTGATCGACCAACTAACTACCACATTAGCGGAGCTGAGGCTGATGAATTTACTACTGCTGCTAACTAATACTAACACAAAATGACTAACAACGACAATAATAACAAAAATCGAAACGACAAGAGCGACAACGATCCTCCCAACTAAAACAGCAGCAAAGTGTTTTTCCCAGTCACAAACGGAACGTGTTGGAATACAGACGTATCATCACACAAAATATTAAGAATATACAAAGAGACGAACCAAAATATTATAAAAAAAAAAATTCATACAAAGTGAAAAAATATTAACAAGTTATCTTGAAATAATAACAACAACAACAACAAAAATTTAAACGATCATTCAGAATCAGAATTTTTCAAAATCATATAAAAAATCGAATAAAACAAATAACAAACACACAATCACTGACTCAAAAACGGCGACTGTAATAAATCGTCGAAATAGATTTCATTTAAATTATTTCTCTTCAGTTTTTTTTTTGTCTTGTTTTCTATTTAGAAGAGGAATTTCTAATAGATTAATTAAATTGATAGATCGTGTCAAATGTCAACTGTATGCCAGTATTTGTTCGCATTGTATAAATGAACATTTCAACAATAAATAAATAAAAAAATAATAACAATAATAATAAAAAAAAACATCTCCTCTATATGTCTATATTATCATATAAGTTGTTTGTACTTTTACTTCTTATTGACGCTATCAGTAACGTCGATCCTAAGTAGTCAGACTCGTAGGCAGTTATTGTCATTTTTTCGGCATAAAATCGAACAAATTTTCAATACAATACACAAACTCTTTATGGTGATTAAAATAATATAATCACACTCTCAACTTAATTAATTATAATAATAATAATAAACCCCCAAAGAAAAATCACTGTAATAAATTAAGAAAAAAAACAACAACAAAATATAATGACAATGTCAACCAAAGTGATAATTGTCGAAAAAAGAGTGTGATAAGTGAAGAGTCATTAACAAAGCAAAAACAAAAATTGAGCAGAGATTACCCTTCAAATAAGACGAATTTTAAGCAGCCGTGCACAAATTTTATTTTTGTGAAAAAAAATATCGAAATATTTATATACGAATAACATTTGTTGTTATTTTGGTTTTGAAATTTGAGAAATTTTACGTTTGCGTTTTGTTGTCGTCTGTAAGTGATCGTAATGTGAGTGATTTCTGTTCTTATTTAACAAAAAAAATTTAAAAAATACCAAAAGTGCCATATGGAAAATCCAAACATCTGTGTTACAGAAAATCCAAAAAGAAAATATTAATTGAATTGTTAGAATTCATTTAAATAACAAGCAAATTTTTCAAAACCTAAAGAAAAACAAAAACACAAAACTACCACAAACCGCTAAAGGCCTGCATTTCGAAAAAAAATCCCCAGAATTAAGACCACATAAAAGATTTGACTCAAGTTACTAGTGAAATTTGAAAGAAAAAGAGAACCACAAATAATTATGTTTAATATTTCCCAGTAAATACTTCTTGAAATTTGTCAAAAAAAAGTTATTAGCCCAAAGATTTGCTTTACTTAATTCAAAATAATAACGAAACTTTTCCAAAATGGCATCATTTGTTTATGCCGTTTGGAGTATAACGAATGTGGCTTCGGTTCACTGTTCGGTGCGTCCGGAACTTTCACCGTGTACTTGTGAACCCACATATGCCCATAATTATGTTGAGCTGTCCTGTGAAAAAGTCGATTCTTTTCATACCATTGTTGATGCCTTGTCGAATAAATTTGAACCGAATGTTAATATAAGCTTAAAAATAACCCATTCACAACTGGAAGATCTGGAAATGCGCTCGTTTATGGATATGAAATTGAATCTGGTGAAATTAAGAATGCTGTGGAATGGATTAAAGTAAGTACATAGTGATTTTTATAGATATTAACTTATAATTATAAATCTATTAAGTGTGTGAAGTGAAATAGTGTTAAATGTTGTAATTACTTTTACTTATTTGCTTGTATCCGCTTTATAAAAGTGTCCACCGGATATCGTTTTCCTGCTCGAATTGTAGAATATATTATTTATATTCTAAAGAAAACATATTAATAGTGTAAGCCTTTTGTTATATTTAGGTACGCACTTCGCCTTCTAGAATACGAATAGTCTTATTTGTTTTTGGTAAAGGAGTTTTCATTAAGAACGGCCCTAGTCCCAAAACAGAAAAGATTATCCGTATTAAAGAAGGCCTATCAAAAGGATTAATGTATTTTCTTTTAGAATGTTAGGTAATTCTTATTCTGAATATCTTCCCTTTCTTACAGGAATAAAAACATATTCAGACCATAAATTTCTCGAATTTCGGCTAATTTGTGTTTTCGAATCATCAGTGTAATCACTTGTGGCAACGCTATCGAGACAGACATTGTATTTCATAAATTATAGCATCGATTTTTTAAATGTGTGTCATTAAATTGACTAATTTTGCCGATTACAGGAAAAATTTTTCACAAAATGATATTTAATGGGTTTGAGAGTCGTATTACTTTCGCTTTCTATCGAAATAAGTGTCAAAATTGTCGTAATTTTTAGCTTTTACAGAAAAATATTTAAAACATTATTTGGCATTTGGTCCATTTCAAGATTTTTTAGACTATTTTGGAATTTGTATACCGCTTATAATGCACTAAAAGTTTTGTGGACCAGAAATACAAAAATTATAATTATTTTTCCAAGATTAGCTCAAAATTACGGAATTTTTGAGACCCATTTGAAAAGATTGCAGAATTTTTTTGTACATATTGTACTGACATCGTTTAAGAGGCATTCCTCCAAAGAGTTCAAATACCAAAAATAAAAATTGTCGGAATTTGTAAGACATTGATCTCAGATATAGAATAAACGTCAAGTGAAACACTTGGGCACCGTAACATTACGTTTGACTTTTCATAGGCCTTGTTAGCCCATGTAAAACTGTAAGAATCCCATAACCATCTTTTCTTCCGGGAAATTGCCGCGATACAGAGGGCTCTAAGATGAGAAGCGGAACGGGTATGGGAATCTAGATTGAAAACCGAAATATTTATTGTTTTCCAGATCCACTCTAATTACTTAATATAAAATGGGCTGTATTTAATATGTCACAGTCAGATATAAACATATTTAAGAAAGCCATAAACGGCTTTATTTTCGGCAGTAAGCTCTGAAGTATATGTACATTAGATCTCTCGGAGATTATTAGTAACGAGAGGTTAATTCATTTGCTATTATGGATAGGGAATTTGGTGAAAGTATTAAGGGGTAACCAAAACGAAAGGATAATGAGATGTCTCCTTAGTGCTCGAACAACATTTCTTATAAGTCCCAATTCAACAAGGAGCGATAGAACGGCACAAGTGAAATATTCTAAAACATCTATCATAGAGCAACTATGTCAAGGTTTGAAAACCTAAAAATTTCCTGAATGCATTTTTATAACTTTAAGCGCATATACATATGTATGTAGGTATGATTAAAGCCACAGATGGTCAATATTCCCAACTTTTGTATAATTACCATGTCACTTACATAGTTTTAATCAAATCTCTGGATCTCAGTATACACTACTGCTTAGATTTTGATAAAACTCTTGGAACAATAACCGCATGTGGGAATATACCATACAAAGCAAATATATTCAGAATCCTTATAGATAGCGAAGTCAATTTAGAGATGTTTGTCTATCTGTCTGTCTTTATGTATGTTGAAATCGATTTCGCAATCCAAGTTTTGTAAATTTCTATTAGAAATGATTTCGAAAGTAAAAATTGGTCTATAAATAAAGAAGAAATTCTGAAAATGTTTATGAATAGGTGATTTGAAGTTATAAAAATAGCCAAAATAAGTTTGCGAGAAGCAAATTATACACGCCTGGTACCAAATTGACACCATTTAGACAACGAATGTGCATAAAGTTTAGATTGCGACAACGAATTGTTGCAATGTTGACAAAGTTGCGTGGTCTACATTACATGTTGTTGTTGTATGTATGTATGTATATACTTGACAACGGATGTTATTGAAAAATTTGGTGCCAATTTGGTACCAGGCGTGTATATTTTTTTCCTCTGTGTAGTTATACAACTGTTTGGAAATTTTTATACAATGGATGTTGACACAGAGTTTTCTCGCACGACAGCGAACTTAAAGTCCTTCATGATCAAAGGTTATATGGATCCTTCCCAGGAAATATGGATCCTTCCCAATCCATATTCCCTGTGTAATCCATTCCATCTCGCATTACCCCACTTGTAAGGTTAAGGTGGTTGGTGGTAGTGCCGAGAACCTAAATGTCTAATCAGTGGTAAAAGAAGCTAACCTTTGGCCGATTGTAATACCTAGTCTAATCTATGTATGGCGTCAGTGCATGGATCGTTCTTCCTTTTTTTCTGTCTTTGCAACTGCGACAGTATTCATTGAAGGAGGACTTCCCTCTTCTTTGCGAATTAACATTAACAATTATCTCATATCAAAACTCCTGAGATTTCTTTCGGCTACAGGCAGGTCACAGCTGGCGAGTGGAGTGGTCCTATCATAACGAAGTCCATTCGACTCTACTTGACTGTTCGCGCTCAGTGAACTACCACGATAACCAACCAACTAAGGTTTAAGTTATATAAGGTTCGCTATAGCCGAATTTGTTTAAGGCTATAAAAGAAATGTCAGTTAGCACATCTTAACATGTGAACATCGACATAAATCATATAAATATACTTCTTCCTCCTTTTTTACTGTATAGATAGGTATAAAAATATTGATACTCATGTAGGACGTCAGATTGTCTCATTTCATTTTTTTTTTTAATTTTCTCTTTTTGTTTACAAAAAAATACTCACATACTTCCATCACTTAATTACTTGATGATCACGTACAATGATCAAGACATAAAATCATTTAAATAAAATTATTTTATTATCTTAATTAGTAAATACAACCAGAGTTTAAAAACAAAATAATATTCATACATATTTTTTATAAGATGATCTTTTAAAATTACAAAATGCAATACGATCACTTGAGAAGATCAGTATTGAAATATTAAAACTATTAAATTTTGCACTTCTTTATGGGTTAAATATTAGGTGCTATTTCAGCTTTTATTTGAGATGAATCAAAGCAATTTATAGGTTTCTTAGCCAGACAATTTTAAAGCAAAAATACAACATAAATCAAAGTTTTCAAATTTTTTTCTATCTAATTTGAAAACATAAAAATGTTTAATGCTTCATAAATAAAAATAGTAATCAAAACAAAATATCAACTCAAAACAAAATAAAATAAACTGTTTTTCAGAACAAAATATTCTCATCGTAATTGATTTTGCGGCACTTGTTTTATTTGCATATATTACTAAATAAATGTTTGTATGAATGATAATTTCAAAATTTCTTATCAATCTTTCGTGGGATACGAAGTCTACGTAAAGAAATTATAAAAAGAAAAACATTTGATTTATTTAAATGAAATGCAAATAAATGAATTTATATATTATATGTATTTATTTATATTTTAAGTAACGACTTTGAATATTGAAATTTTATTTTAAACTCTAGTAATGACCACATGTTCGGTTTCCGTAAATGTGATGAAAAACCAAATAAAACTGCCTTAATTTAGTTAATACCAAATTTATGTGGTATTGGATATTTCTTAATGAATGTATATTGAAATTTAATTTGAGACAAAATACATTTTCTATCAATATTTCTATAACTAATCTAATATTCATTTGTACTTACTTACATACTTACATGATATATTTATTAATAGTAATTCAATATTTCATTTCTTTTTTATCAGTACAGGACATAAACAAACAAATAATTCAATTGAATAATTGTTTATAAGTAATGCTGATATTGAAACACATGTGAATAACTCTTTAGTACATTGAATTTTATAAAAAAAAATATATATAATAAAAAACAAAATGAAAAGAAATATTCCACAGTATATTTGTTTTTTCTTTCATCGTCATTAAGTCTTGTATTCGAAAAGGCGATTTGCCGATATAACAATGTTTATATGCATAAATGCCTACGAACTCGTACTTGCAAAAAATGTTTAAACCCAGCAAAATGTTTTCGTTTTAAAAATGAGCGACTTAATAATTTCATAAAAATGGAAAGAAAATTAATAAAGTCAAAACCCAAGATCAGGTTACTCCAAAAAGTCGCCTTTTGTAGGTATTCATTCAATTTTTAGAGGTCTCGGATTTTGAGTTCACATCTCCGTTACTTACACACCGATTTTGTTAATTTTAAATAGGAAACTTCTTGCATGCATATCTGACAGAATTGTTGAAAACTTGGGTCGCGAAAATTGATTTCACGAAACATACAGGCAGACAGATAGACGGACATAGCTTAATCGATTCCGCTATTTATAAGAACTTCGGAATATATGTATATACTTTATAAGGTAAGAAAATTATATTATAAAAATTAAAAACGGATACATACATAATATGTATGTATCCGTTTTTAATTTTATGTATATCTCACAAGATGAAGGTCCTTTTTGAGACACGAAGCTCTAATTCCTATACATTGGCTTCAATACAGAGGTATCATATCTAATGCACCAAGGACTTCCGATTAGAAAAGCAGCACGTAAAGTTAAATGCTCTGATTCTTTTGTACGCAGTGCCAAAGCTAAAACTGTGTTGCAGTTGTATAATATTCAAAACGGCCCAGATCAATTCGGTTATATATTAGAAGCAAAAAAGGGACCGAATAAATTTAGATCAAATTTTACAAAAAATACACTTTATGTTTGATGAATGATACAACTTATGTAGTGGAAGACTTTTCACACCTCCGGGTCAAGATTTTTAAGCGGCTGATGGACGAAGTATGTTCAACAATGACACCGAA